CCCCAAAACCCCAAAACCCCAAAACCCCAGTTAGCCCAGATTTAGTTGAAAAATTGATTTTTCAAGAAAGCCAAAACCTCGATTTTAAGACTAAAAATCGACAAATTTAAGCCATGCCTTAGAATTTATCTAAGAAGAGTTGAGCAATGGATTCAAAATTAGATAATTGGTTGTTTAGGATAAATAGAGTACCTTGGAAGATCAATTTCGTCTATAGCAAGCGATCTTCTTGGACTCGCCTTTTGATTTGCATTTTTGGATTTTTGGAGAAATTTAACCAGGATTGAGTTTCTGAGTAGCTTAGAATGCTTACGTGAGTTTTGTTTTTGGATTTTGAGATTTTGGGGAGGATTTATTAAGTTAGGGAGAGATCAATTCCTAAAAGTTACTAAACAGTCTACCTTTCATGCTTTTTCTCTTCTATCTCGCTTAACATACTTTCACAGCTGATATATGACTTAGAAAGTTTGACAGGAGTGGCAAGCTCAGATCTGTGTTTTCCTGATCGTACCATGAACAGTTCTCTTTTATGAATCTCTTTTCATAATAATTCCTATACATGAAAGATTTTAGGTACACTAGGAACAGAGTCAGGTCTACTGGTTTCTATTCAGCTTTTGTTAACATTTCTTTGGTCCTGAAGTTCGTCTTTAACTAAGATGCTGCATTGAGACACATTCTGAGAGGAATTCCTTGCGCTGAATCCACTTTTGTAGTCCCTTGAAGTCATACTCTGGCTAAAAGCTTTTGGATTACAGAAAGATACTTACCTTGTGGGAATTTCCTCTCAACTCATTTTTGTTCAATTTCAACATTTGTAAAGTTTATGGGAGCTTTGCGACTTGGCTTTGGAACTTTAAAGCTGCTTGGAAAGTCACCTAGAGCTGTGGTAGAGCTGTTCTGAATAAAACTACCGCTCATAATCAAAGAGTGTCTGGCATCTTTTTGCTTATTCTTCCGTGCCTTGGTTGCAAGACGGAATAGTTTTTCAATATTAAACACACTAGAGTAATTAAAGATATCTACTCTTTCTTTGATCCATCCTTCTTAGATTGCTTCATCTCTTTTTCTTTCTTTGATTTAAGGATCTCAAATGCAGTCCCGAGATTGGAGCAATCAGAGGATTTTCGGATTGATTTCTGACTTTCCATCTTCTCTTTCATCTGCTTGTCCTGGACCCGCATTATGTGGCCAGCTAGGACCTTATTTATGATGCTTTTAAATCTAAATTTTATATTTCCATCTCACTTCTGAATTCCAGGCGTGTTGTATCTCTTAACCTGGGTTGAGCTGTCTTTCCTTATATTCTTCCAACAGAGGCATTGTCACTCTGAGACTTGTTCTCCTTGTCTTTAATCCATTTTGAAATTTTCTAAAATAAGCTTATCAGTGTAGTACTTCTATTTCACTGTAAAGGCCTTTGTTAATGTTCTGACAAGCTTTGCGAAAGGTATCCTTATCTTCATTCAGGACGAAGTTACTGAGTAGTTTCCACTCTGATGAACTCCTTGCTGTGTGATCGTATTCAGCATAATACTGTGTAGGATGATCCAAGAATTCCATATGTCTTTTATAAATCAGCCCACTGTTGTAAGGAGTAATCATTAAGTCTAATTTCTCCTGTAATTTCTTGTTTGAAACAGCGTTCAAAGCAGTCAAGCGTTCTTGGACTGAATTAAGCCCTTCAGGAGGTTTCTGATGTTTTAACGATTTATTTAGATTTAAAATAGTATTGCCCTGTTTTATTTCTTGACATCCTCTTCTTTGAATTAGGCGAGTATTTCATCTGGCCTGGTGTTTTAACATGACTTGAGTCTACACACAATTTTTCCAAATAATTTCCTAAATTACCTTTATTTTCGAATCCTTGTCACTTTCCTCGGTTTCTTAGCTGGAGTTTCAAAGCTTATTTGGTTACTTTTCCTTCTAAAATTAAGATTTTTGGTAAAGTCTTTCTTGTGGTCTTCCTTAAAACTTGCTGGGAGACCTGCAGAAGCATGATTGAACACTATCTGATCGCTATTTCCTAAATATTCGGAGGTCCCTGCTCAGTGATTCTAGCAAATTTTGACTAGCTGTCTTGTCCCTCTGCTAGAGAAATGAGACTGAGGATTTAGCAAACTAAGATTTGGGAATTTAATAGAATTTAGACCTAAAAATTGGACAAAAAAACAGGTAAAGGGCTAAAAACGTACTTTATTAGGGGTTTGATTGGGGATGCTCATTTAATATTTATATTATATACACAATTTTAATCTTAGGTGCTGGGGTTTTGGGGTTTTGGGGTTTTGGGGTTTTGGGG